AAAAAAATCTGTATTTTCTTCTACAAGTTGTAAAGTTTCCTTCCCATAATTAGGTCTAATTGACCTGGAATTTATTTTTATGCATGGTATGACATAAGCATCTAATTTTACTTATTTCTACACAGATAACTAGTTTCTCCTCTCCTCATCTATTTGTAATGTACTTCTGTCTTAGGTCAAATTTCTATGTATGTGTGCTATGTTTCTAGGGTCCATAATCTCTTATCTTCCTGTATTCTTGCAATAGTTCCGCCACTGTAACAACTAGAACAGGAAGTCTTGGTATCTGGGAGAATTAGTCCCTTCTTTGTTGTTCTTAGTATCTTAGTTATTCTTGGCCCTTTACTCTTTCTTATTAATCTTATAATCAGATTATCAGGTTCTTCAAACAAACAAAACAAAACTAGGGCTTTCAATTGGCACTGCATTGAATTTAGATAAATTTGGGGTGAACTTACATTTGTGTGATACTGAGGTTACCCATTCATGAACATGGTTTATCTCCCCATTTACTCAGGTATTCTTTTATATCCACTATATATTTCTCACACCTCTTGTTAGATTCATTTCTAAACACCTTAAAGCTACTTTTATACTGTAAATGAAATTTTTTTTCCTGTAATGTTTTTCTAAATTAATTACTATGGATACAAAAATACAATTTTGGTGTTTCTTGTCTTTAGGCAACCTGGGTGAATTATCTCAGTGTTCAGGAATAAGTTTTGCTTCCTTTTCTACCTCTTTTTCTTTTTTTTCTTTTGCTTCCTTTCTACCTCTTATATAGCACATTGCCTTCTCTTGTTTTACTGCAATGATACAGCTGAATAAAAAAGTTATTACAGGGTATTCCTGTTTTGTTTTCACCTTTCAATGGAAATCCTTTTGAAACCTCATCAATAATTTTCATGTTTGATGCAGGTTTTTATCAGCTCCAGGGTTTTTTGTTGTTTTTGTTCATGAACGAGTGCTGAGCTTTATCAAATGTCTTTTCTGAACCTACTAAAATGACTGCCTAACACTATGGACTATTTACACTGTGGGTTGGAACCCATTTGATTGTAATGAAATAAATTTAATGTATTGACAGACCAGAAATTGTTTTTTTTTTTTTTTAAAGAAACAGAATATAACAAGGTATACCAAGATATTAGGCAGATACTGTTTGGTAAAAATGTTTGTTTTAGCTGCTTACACAAACACACGTATATGTGCTCTGAGTTGCTAAGTAAAACGTGCTTCTTACAGTGGGTTGTATACAAAAGAGTTTGAAAGCAACTGATCTATACTATTTTGAAGCATGAAAAACCCACTAGAAAGGACAAACATCTTATCGCAAGGTTTTCTTAAAAATAAATAATGCTTGGCTTTTGTTCATTTAAAAATAGCCAGCTTGGGCGCCTGGGTGGCTCAGTCAGTTAAGAATCTGACTTTGGCTCAGGTCATGATCTCACAGTTTGTGGGTTCAAGGCCTGCCTTGGGCTCTGTGCTGACAGCTCAGAGCCTGGAGCCTGCTTCAGATTCTGTGTCTCTCTTTCTCTCTGCCCCTCCCCAGCTCACATTCTGTCTCTCTCTCAAAAATAAATAAATAAATAAATAAAAACATTAAAAAAAATAAAAATAGGGGCACCTGGGTGGCTCAGTGGGTTAAGCATCCGACTCTGGCTCAGATCATGATCTTGCGGTTTCTGAGTTCGAGCCCCAATTCAGGCTCTGTGCTGACAGCTCAGAGCCTGGAGCCTGCTTCAGATTCTGTGTCTTCCTCTCTCTCTCTGCCCCTTCCCTGCTCGTGCTCTCTCTCTCAAAAATAAATAAACATTAAAAAATAATAAAATAATAAATAAAATAAATAAAAATATCCAGCTTTTCCTGATACTTTTATTTTAAAAATGTTTTAAATATATTTTTAATATTTTAAATATTATTATTATTAACATAAGTCATACTCTCTTGATGGAGAAAATGACCTACATTCACAGAAACATCTTAAGTCACTCAAAAGTAACAGAAGTAAATTAAGTATGAATTTTTGACAAGGATTCTTCTTCAAGGATCATTTCTGTAAAATGTTATATGTATAATTTCCAGGGTGAGGGTATACAGCTTCCATCATATTTTCAAACATATCTGTGACCTTAAAAACAGACAGAATCTCTCTTCCAAAAAGTTTAAAGTTAGTTTATACTTCTAAAATCAGAAGGTAACCTGGCATTTGCACATTTTCTATACTTTTCTATGGAGTCTGGCTCAGTCATCTTTTAGCTGTTTGTATTATTACCTCATACTTTGCTGACTAACTGGTTGGCCTTGTCAGTGGTTTATAAAAACAAGCCTGCCCTCAGAATCCATCCATACATATATGACCATTCAATGTTTCTCTTTACCCATGCCTCCCAAAACCTTCCTCTAGAACACTTTAAGGCTGTTCCTTGTTTGTGACCAGAAGTAATATTACCCACCTTATGCACTGTATTTATTTTTGGAAGATCTGTGGCTGCTTCCTGATTATGCTGATTACAATTTGTCACCAGTGAGGCTGTTTAAAAGAAAGCAACTCCCAAAGAGGAGCTCCAACACGTTCTACACAATAGCAGCATTGTTGGTGTAAGTAATCTAACCTACCAGAGGGACTACTTAAAGGACAACTACCATTTGGATGTAATGATTTTGAAATTTGTTTCTTTTAAACTCACATCCCCTTCTTAGGGTGCCTGGGTGGCTCAGTGGGTGTTAAGAGTCTGACTCATGGTTTCCACCCAGGTCGTGATCTCACAGTTCATGGGTTCGCGCCCTGCGTAGGGCTCCACGCTAACAGTGTGGGGCCTGCTTGGGATTCTCTCTCTTTTCACCCCCCCAAAGTAAATAAATAAACTTTAAAAAATAAATCTCACCTCCCCTTTTTGACATGCCATGCATGCTGATGTTCTCCACAAAGGCTACCTTTCAAACAACTCAGCATTACATAGACATTTTAGGGACCACAGTATTCATCTTAACAATGACATCGATATTGAGTGCCAAGTATTAGAAGTCTAAAGAATATCATTGTTTCTAATCACAATGTATAAAAACTCCTAATTTGGGGCATCTGGCTGGCCCAGTCGGAAGAGCATGTGACCCTTGATATTGGAGTCATGAGTCTGAGCCCCACATAGGGTGCAGAGACTAGTAAAAAAAAAAAAAGAAAGAAAGAAAAAGAAAAAAAAAGATAAATAAACTGAAAAAAAGAAACAAAAACAAAAACAAAAAACTCCTTTTAATTCTGCAATGCTATGCTAATTTCCTGGCTGCTGTTGGATATATTGGAATGGTATCCAAACTGAAAGAAAGCTGTCTTTATAGTCTTAAAAAACGTTCTCCAAATTAAGTTATATAATATGCATAAATTTGTAAGTACACTAAGCAATCTATTATTTTTATGCCATTTTATAATCCCCAAAGCAGTATTTTAATCATAGCAACCTGTTAACAACGATTACATCTGGTGAGTGGGATTGGCAGGAGATGAGGAAAAGAGAGAGTTTTTGTGTTTGCTTCTTGAATACTTTTGCACTATTTAAATATTTAAATTAAACATGTACTTCTTTCCTAATGTTTATTTATTTATTTTGAGAGAGAGAGTGGGGGGGGGGGGGGGGGCGGGAGGGACAGAGAGAGAAGGAGAGGATCCCAAGCAGGCTCCACACTGTCAGCACAGAGCCTGCCACTGGACTCGAACCCATGAACGGTGAGATCATGACCTGAGCCGAAAACCTGGAGTTGGACACTTAACCAACTGAGCCACCCAGACACCCCTAAATATGTATTTTTTAATTAAAATCTGAATAACGAAAAAGGGTACAATTTTGAAGTCAAGAATCTCCACGTTTATTTTATTCTACTCCCTGTCATCCCACCCCTAGTCTCCTTCCAGGAGACTGTAGCACTCTATGTAGAACTCTTCAACTTTCCAGCTCCCACACAGCCAGCCCCATGAAGGACAGTAGGCATGTACAGGGAGTACAAGCGGAGGTCATGGGAGCCAGAGGATTCAAGGAGCCTAGAAATGAGCACTTAAAAAGCACTTCTCTTTGGAAGGTAGATTTCAGAATACAAGGATCTATTCTCTCCTCTCTTTGAAATGCTAGTTAACATCTATTCACACCTTTAACAGCTCTACTCCTTAAACACTTAGACCCCTGTTTAAATGAGGGCCGGGGCACCTGGGTGGTTCAATCCCTTAAGTGACCAACTTCAGCTTAGGTCATGATCTCACAGCTTGTGAGTTCAAGCCCCGCATCAGGTTCTGTGCTGACAGCTCAGAGCCTGGAGCTGCTTCGTATTGTCTCCCTTTCTCTCTGCCCCTCCCCCACTTGCACTCTGTCTCTTGTCTCTCTCTCAAAAGTAAATAAACATTAAAAAATAAAAAATAATTTTTTTTTAAATGAGGGCCAGAGTAACCCCTCTGGAGGGCTAAATAATTGCTTAGGTCACTACTACTGCAATTTTAAGAATATCATCCCAAGTTTTATGTATGAAGTCCACTGTCAAGAGCCTATTTGACATCTTTCTTTTTGAACTACTAGCCAAAATGCTAGTCACCTGTTAAAGGGATTATAACCACTTCATTCTTACTGTTTCTGAACTCTGAATTCCATCCTATACCTTGTTATCCAACAAACTTGCTTCATATTTGATCACTCTTTTTAATAACCCATCACTTTTTCCATGAAACTCACATACCTAAGCTTCAGCCTCATCTCAGATCACAAGTCACAAATATAAATGCTGACACAGAGACCAAGCAGACGACCTAAGTGTAGTGGTATGGTAAGAAATAACAGGGAGTAGCAATGATGTAACAACCTTCCCTCAGGATTGGGAGTTTATAAAGAACAGCACAGATAGGAATGGGAGTTCCAAAATCCTCTAACCTGAACTATAAAATACAATACTGTAAAAAGAGGCCAGGGGTTTAAATGAGGTCAGAGAGAACTAATGCATGAAAGCCGCTGTTGACAAACCTGTCCCAAATTTGCTGAAGGGGTGTTTGGGATTCCCCGTAGCTTTTTCCAACTGAAAGAGTCTCCAGGCATCGTTCATCACATTCTTCTCATGTTCTGAATCAACTGCATTCACCTCTCTGTCTTTGCAACTCTCATCAAACAAGGGGCACAGGAAAAACTGTGCAAACCTAAGGGTAGGAAACACAATTAACAATTTGAAAGCTGTTATTTTAAAAGAGTAGCCTTTAAAAATATATTTGAAACTCAACAGACAGGAAGTATGAATTCTACAGAACCAAAAACACTACCATTGCAACCAAGAAAAAGAAATGCAAAATAAGTTTTAAAAAAGTAACAAAAGAAAAATATTGGACATGTAAAATTCAGAGAAGTCGATCTACCCCAGAGATATTAGTGAAAATATACTCAGATCTACCAGACTGCCCCCAACCCCAACACACACTTCAGAGGCTGGACTTGGGCTTCTAAGTGGCTACAGATCAGAGGTTCCCATCACCTCCTCTGGTTCAATAAATTTGCTACAACAGCTCACCTGACTCACAGAAACATTTTACTCACTAGATCACCAGTTTATTATAAAAGGAAATAATTCAGGAAGGTCCAGATAGAAAGGATGCACAGGGATGTACATGGGAAGAGGCACAGAAGCTACTCTCCCCAAACCTCCATGCTTTCACCAACCTGGAAATTGTACAAACCCTGTCCTTTTGGGTTTTTATGAACACTTCATTACATAAGCATGATTGATTAAATCATAAGCTACTGGTAACTGAACTCAATCTCCAGCCCCACTTGGAAGGTCTGGGATTTGGAGAGAAAGTTCCAACCTTTCTATAGCAGGGCTGGTTGCCCTGGAAACAAACTGTCAGGTTACCTACGGGCTTCCCCAAAGTCACCTTATTAACATGCCAAAAGACACCTTTAATACTCTCATCACTTAGGAAATTCCATGGGTTTTAGGAGCTATGGGCCAGGAACAGGAAGAAAAACCAAATATAGATTTCTTATTATAAATCAAAATACCACAACAGCAAAAAGTCAACGCAGACTTATAAAGACTGCCTTGCAATCTATTTAAGATTTGCAATTTGGCAAGTCATGAAAATCCCTGTTATATATTGCTAACTCTCCAAAAAAGGAAAAGGCAGGTGACAGTTCTTGGGCAAAAAAATCTTAAACTTACAGTCTGAGGTGCAACTGCACTTAAGACTCAGACATTTTAGGACAAACTAAGTGACCTACTTTTTAAAGGCTCTATTTGAATATTTTTTCTTCCTCTAGAGAAAAACAAACAAACTTTATTAGTGGGGAAAAAATGATGGAATAAAAAAATCTATGACACAGTAGTTTGACTAAGACACAATTATGAGCTTTTATAAAATATTAAAAGAATTTTAAAATTTTAATAAGCAGTGATTCAACAAATAACATGTCATGTAACTCTGGCGTAAGTAACCAAATGTTTTTCTTGAGATTATTCTTTAGTAGTAGTAGTACTAAAGTTTAACTAAAATGACTTTAGTTATAAGTTAACTCTCCTATATCAGGTTACAATTTAAAGCATGATTTCATATAATAAATCTTAAACTTTAGATTCCATTTTATAAAAATTAAGATCCAGAATTCAGATGAAGCCACAAGCAGAGTCTGAATGGGGCCTTAAGAGACTCCTGAGTCTATGGACATCTCAGCAACTGTATTTCACAGTTCAGCTGTCAAAGAGACTGTTATCACTACCTGGTATTTATTTTATGCACACAGTAAATACGATACTGTGCTAAGCACTTCACACAAACCAATCCGAAGGGAAACTCCACCTCTCTATACGCGGGAACAGCTATTTATGGATAGGTAACCTCTTTTACCTATCTCAATACATTTAAGCCGGTAAAAGCGCCTAATAGCTACATACCATAGCTGGATAGGTCCACGTAAAGGGTCATGATAATGACACAGTAGAATCAATATTTTAAAAACATGCTCTTATGTAAGAGGTTTTTTTTTCCCCCTCTGAGTCAAGTAACAGACATCCTCCATCATACAGAGATTATATGAACATCTGCTGTAGCATTTGTAAAGCAGGAAATTAAATTCAGTGTATGATCCCAGGGAACTCATTAATGGTAGTCTTCTGGGAATACATATAAAAGATGATTACACTTCAAAGCTGCTGCCTAAAGACCGAAACATAATCTAGAATAAGTAAGAAACAGACCACTATGACCTAGCCATGTATCCTGAACCCATGCCTCTGCCTTGTTAATGTTCTTTGCACTAAGGAATAAATTCAAACTATTAGGTTTTCAAAAAATATGTAATGACTATTATCAATATAAGCAAATAAAGCTATCACTAAAACTGCTAAGTCAACGTTAATTATAGACCCATAAAAAAGCTGCAGAATTACACCTTCTTGGCAATATAGAAAACTGTAAAAAGTTACCAAGGAAAAATTACTTTGGATAATTAATCAAATCACTAATATGACAAAAAATTAGAAACTGTTAGCTGTGTAGAAAACTAAGAAATTAAATTGACCTAATGGAGCTTGCTCCAGGAAATACTTTCACAAAATGTCCCCAGGGTTGAAAACAGCAGGTCAAAACATTTTGTGTCACCACAATGAGACATCACCTCACACCAGTCAGATGGCTATTATCAAAAAGGCAAGAAATAACAAGTGCTGACCAAGGATGTGGAGAGAAGGGAGCCCTTGTGTCGGTGGGAATGTAAACTAGTGTAGCCACTGTGGAAAACAGTATGGAGGTTTCTCAAAAAGTTAACAATAGAATGACCATGTGATTCAGCAATTCCACTTCTGGGTATTTACCCCCAAAAAACCAAGAAACAAAAAACACTAATTTGAAAAGATTTACGCAGCCTTATGTTCACTGTGGCATTATTTATAATAGCCAAGATATGGAAACAACCTAAATGTCCATGGATGGATAAATGGATAAAGATATAGTACATATATGCAGTGGAATACTACTCAGTCATTAAAAAAAAAATGAAATCTTACCATTTACAACAAGATGGATGGACCTAGGGGCTATTATACTAAGTGAAATAAGTCAGAGAAAGACAAATACCATATGATCTCACATATATGTGGAATGTAAGAAACAAAAGTCACAGACACAGAGAACAGACTGATGGTTGTCAGAAGAAAGGAGGTTTGGGGGTTCGATGAAAGGAGTCAAAAGATACACACTTCCAGTTATAAAATATTAAGTCACAGGAATATAATGTACACCATGGTAACTATAGCGAATAATATTGTATTGCATACTCAAAAGTTGCAAAAGAGTAAATGTTAAAAGTTTTCATAGTAAGAGAAAAAAATTTTTGTAACTTTGTATGATGACATATGGTAACTAGACTTACACAGTGGGGATCATTTTGCAATGTATACAAATACTGAATCATCATGGTGTACATCTGAAACTGATATAATGTCAATTATACTTCAATTAAAAAAAAATTCTATATCCACTAAGCATAGACTAGAGTAACTAAAGGAGAACAGAATGTTTAAGTTCTACATTCTGGAATAGGAGCATATTTGAAAAGAAATCCATGACACTGTAACAGTTTATTCTTCATCACGTGCTTCAGATATAATACCAATTAGAATGGGAAGGGCTGGGGAGAATTTTATAAGTCCATAAAATACTGTGTAGGGCTGAAGACTGGTTTAAAGTCATGCCATTATTTTTCCTCTACCACAAAATAAATAGACAGTATCACTCATTTTCTTTTCTTTTTTTTTTTTTTTTTATAAACGCGTTGAAAAATACTGGTTAAAATACTTTTTGTTAAGCTACAAAGCTGTGAAGACATCTTTGTAAAAATAATAATTATTACTACTATTAGTGTAATAAAGTGCACAAAGTTGAATAATCTATAAGATATCAGCATTACCTGTCTAGGGCACCTTCTAGATGTTCATGGGAAACATCAAAATAGTAATTGGTATGTTCTCCACTAGTAAAGGCATTTGAACTTCCTGCATGCTCACTAAGAAACTGGCTGTATTCATTTTCTTTAGGGTATTTCTTTGTTCCCAAAAATAGCATATGTTCACAAAAATGACTTAAGCCAGCAATATTTGGAGGATCTGACAATGAACCTGAAAGACAAGAGAAAAACACATACAACAAAAGTTTTTTTTTGTTTTTGTTTTTTGTTTTGCAGATGATCTGCAAGTTCTGTTAACATGACAACTCCAACCATACAATGAGAGAAAGTTAAGCACAGGCTGCTCTAAAATGGTACTGTTTAGGTTACAGCCTCAGCTTGTGATATTAATTAGTTAGCAACTTTGGGCAGATTACTTAGCCTCTCTGGACATTACCTTTCTCACACATCACAATGGAGGGAAGGTAAGACTTGAATTCATTGTTTTATAAGAGCAAGAGCTCCTAGTTCTTACATTTTATTGCAGGAGATAATACAATGTAGTGGTAAGAACATAGATTTAGGGTTACCAGCTCTGCTGACTGTGAAATTCTGAGCGCAATACTTTATCTTGACTCACTTTATATATATATACACACATACGTATATATAATCTAGGGAGTTGTGTGAACACAAATTAGATGATATTTGCAAACCACACTACGTTGTACTTGGCAATAATTATTTGTTCAACACTCGATGGTTATTACCTTATTTCCTCAATTTTAAAATGTCATTGAGTTAAAGTTTTTCAGAGAGGAAAATAAGAAAAATACTTATGTACGTATAGACAAGAATCTACTTGATTAAGGCCACATTAAACATGGAGGAAATATCCACACAAGAATCTAGAAAATATGGTATTTCCTAGTATACCAAAACTGTACAAAAGTAAAAGCATCATCACTGTTACTGTAAAGGATGGGAATTAATTTGCCTGCTGCTAAGTCACCCTAGCTGAGAACCTAACAAAATGACTTGGTAAATAAATGTAAGATTATTTGATTTTGACAAATGTAGATTGCTAATTGGACTATTGTACAAGGTAAGGTACATCAAACTGATAATCATGAGGTCTTTATTTGCACACACATGGCAAGTTCTAATAAATGTCAACATTAGATCAAGAAAACAGAACAAAGCTTAATTCACAATTTTAAATTGTACCTATGTGTACATCAAGTGCTGCCGATGACTTATCCGTGGTCGGATCACTGATAAGAAGTACTTTGATACCATTGGCCAGCTCTAATCCACGGTATTCTCGCTTGTCTTCAGGAGATTTGATAATGTGATTTCCTAGTCTCTTGATAGCTGGATTATTCATCTTGCTGTAAGTCTTTTCTTGGAAGCTGAAAATAAAACATTAGTAATTGTTGCATTGTAGCTTTTTCTTTTTTTAAGAATAAAGAATAGGGGCGCCTGGGTGGCTCAGTTGGTTTAAGCATCCCATTCTTGATTTTGGCTAAGGTCATGATCTCACGGTTTGTGGGATCAAGCCCCACAACAGGCTCTGTGCTTCATAGCATGAAGCCTGCTTGGGATTCTCTCTTTCTCTCTGCCCCTTCCCCAGTTGCATGTGCATGCATGCACTCTCAAAATAAGTAAGTAAACATTTTTTAAAAAAGGTTAAAAAAAAGAATACAGAATAATATCAAGCAAACCCATACAATACATCATCAGATAAAAAAATATATCTGGAGGAAACTTTTTTTTATAGCTTATATACTGGGGATAATCATTCCTCTCTTCCCTTTTACCCCTCATTGTTTTGTTAGAGAAATACTAACAATATTGTTTTTGTGGAGTCATATTTGATCTAGGAGAGCACTTGGATGGGGATTTGAGACAGGATAGGTTGAGCGATGAGCTGGTCAGTATGCTGACCTAGAACAGAGTTTTAATTACCAATAACTGCTTTCCCACATGTTTTGGAAATATTTAGTAAAGTAAGATGAGAGGTTGTGTAAGGATTATTACTGGATCAACCAAAAACATTGCTCAACCTGATGACATTCAAAGATACGGCAGATCTGGAATTCATGGGTCTGATATGCACATGCTCAGAACATAGGGGGCAATCCCCAATGAGAAAAAAAAGTCCTGTAAAGTCCTATACAAAATAAGAGATATGGGCTTCACTATGAAGATGGCATAAAAGGGGCACCCGGGTGGCTCAGTTGGTTAAGCATCCGACTTCAGCTCAGGTCATGATCTTGTGGTTTTTGAGTCAGAGCTCCGCATCAGGCTCTGTGCTGACAGCTTAGAGCCTGGAGCCTGCTTCAGATTCTGGATCTCCCTCTCTCTCTGCCCCTCCCCCACTGGCAGCGCATGCTCTCTCTAAGATAAACAATAAAAAATGTTTTTAAAAAAAGAAAGCAGAGAAAAAACAAAACTACAAACAAAAAGTGGGAAGGACCCAAGTAATTTTTATAATATGGTGAAGAATTGAATGCCAGAGCAACAACAGTCCAGTGATCTTAACAAGAATGCAAGATAAGTTCTCTTACAAACGACTTCCCATCCTCTGAGAGTCCTCTCCTTCCCTCTCTAGGAAAGCTGAGTTACAGGATGTGCTATTAGCACACAGAATTCTGTGGGAGTGTTTGGTATTAGTGTAGAAGGGATTTTCCAGAATCTGAAATATGCATGTTTTTGAGACTAAGAGTAGATGCTATTTGTGTCTATGTTGGGGATCATTTAAGAGACAAAAATCAGCCTGTTATTATCGGTAGGCCAATAAACTAATCAGGTAAAGCCCCAAACATCCGAGACTACAGAGGAAAAATGACCCTATGCTAGCATATTTTCTTTTTACCTGGAAGACAAAAGAAGTAGATCTGACTGCTTCTTAAAGATAGACAGACATCGAGATTTAAAGGTAAATCAGAAGGGGCTAAGTAGGCATTCAATTATTTTCAAGAATTTTTTTGCGCATTAAAATATCTGGAAACTAAGGAAGGGAAAAATCCAGTTTGCTTTTAGCAGAATACCTTCCTCTCTGAAATTATCTAACTATTCTCCTGGGTAACAATTGATAAACCAAAGAGGTTTGTTCCTATTAAGATTGTCCCCTAGATCTCCCTTTAAGAAGACTATTTGAAATTTTAAAAATCAATACTATAGGCCATACTAAATGTATAATACTGGTTAAAAGTCACATAGTACTTGGGTACTACGGCTGGCTCAGAAGAGCATACCAACTTTTTTTTTTTTAATTTTAATTTTTTTTAACGTTTATTTTTGACAGAGAGAGAGAGAGAGAGAGAGAGAGAGGCAGAGCATAAGTGGGGAGGGGCAGAGAGAGAGGGAGACACAAAATCCAAAGCAGGCTCCAGGCTCCGAGCTGTCAGCACACAGCCCGATGCGGGGCTCGAACCCACGGATCGCAAGATCATGACCTGAGCCGACGTCGGACGCTCAACCGACTGAGCCACCCAGGCACCCCTACCAACCCTTGATTTCCGGGTTGTAAGTTTGAGCCCCACGTTGGGTGTAGAGATTACTTTAAAAAATAATAATAATAATCACATAGTACTTTACACAGATAGTGCTAACAGTCTTGCTTTATTTACAGTAAAAAAAAAAAGTTCTTGAAAGACAGAGCATAAAAATAATACTAACATTTTGGGGGATATAAGGTCACTAACTGGAAATTTTTTTTTTCTTTATTTATTTATTTATTTATTTAAATTTTTTTTTTGTTTTGTTTTTTTGTTCAACGTTTATTTATTTTTGGGACACAGAGAGACAGAGCATGAACGGGGGAGGGGCAGAGAGAGAGGAAGACACAGAATCGGAAACAGGCTCCAGGCTCTGAGCCATCAGCCCAGAGCCCGACGCGGGGCTCAAACTCACGGACCGCGAGATCGTGACCTGGCTGAAGTCGGACGCTTAACCGACTGCGCCACCAAGGCGCCCCACTAACTGGAAATTTTAAGAGTAATCTGGACACTATAAAGTATTATTAACTACTCTTTTCTACTTCATTAGCCATAAGCCACTTATGTCAAAGACAGATGAAAATATCTGAGTGCTAAGTATTAAAAAAGGTGTTTTATGGTTAAAAGAATCTCAGGGTAACAGAAAATGTTCCACCTAAGCCTTCAAAGAGGGACACGAGAATAATAATCCTGGTTAAGGTACTTCCCAAAGGACAATATGTTTGAACTGCAACAAACGTCTTAGTACAGAGCTGATTTCGAAGACTTTAATTTGGGTTAAGATTAAATAAGGCATGAGACAGCCTCCATTAAGACTCCCAAGAAGAGCAGCAGACAGTAAGAAAGCTTAGTGTGCACCACAGAGAATAGCCTCTGCTCCCTCCCGTAAGGCTCTATCTACTAGAGGGAGGGAGGGTTTGGGATTTCACTAAGTGGGAGCAAAACCCAAAGGCTATTTATTGATTCCATTGCCATTGTGTTCACCTAGCTTCCCCTCCAGTGCTTGCCCCAGTTAGTCTGACCTAGGGGAAGCTAGGGCCACATATGACTAAAATGTGATGATGATGATGATGATGGAGCTCTAAAAAGTCTGTCCAACCCACAGCTGTGATGGGGAGATGAAATACATCTCACTTTGGTAGGACAAGTTGTCTTTTTCTGTGGGAGGTGAAAAATCCATCAGAAGTAAGATAACCACCCTCGACTACAGGCTACATTCTGTACCTTTTTTCAGGGCTCAATTTCCCTTGTCCAGATTTCCTTTTTTTTTTTTTTTTTTTTTGAGGAAAAAAGTATGTACCATCGAGTTCCTCACAGGCATGTACAGAACTTATTTAAATACTGAAGCCATGCCTGATTGATATCCCTAGTATGGTTGAGAGCAAAGAGATGGATTTATTCTCTAGGTCAAACATAAAAATTACTCCAACTACTTTTAGACATTTGAACAAGAGATCAAAGACAACTATAAATTTCTATGCTGGCACTGTTACCCAATCAAATATCATGATTTTTTGAGGAAGTAAAAGCCAAAAGAAACAGTAGCAACATTTTCAAACAAGATCCATCCCCAGCAACCCATATTCAGTAGGCATAGTCTGGACTCCTACAGCATATCTATCAGCACGTCCCACAACAATTTGATTCTCACCTTCTGGAGAACTGAAGGAAATGATCGGGAACTCCTCTGATGATGAATTCATCAACAGCTTGCCTGTCTCTGTATTTATACTCATGAGATCACATCCCAGCTCCCTCATTAGCATAAAGCCTTCACGAGTAATTCTGACTTTCAGATGACAGGCTAGTGCTAACTCAAATGCTTTCCCAGACACTTGATATTTTTAACCTAAGTCAAAATCTTAGGAGCAATAAAATTACTTTCAATTTTAGTGACATTATCATACATTGGAAACTTCATAAGGCACAACATTGTCAGTGTGCAGCATTCTAATAAACTGGAGACAGATTTAATAACTACAGCATCTTTTGTAATTTTGCTCAGAATTTAAAACAATGACTAAAATCACAATAGGTAAAAGCTGGAAGAACCATTACATGTTATCTGGTCCTTTGTAGTTCATGGCCTAGCAGCACCGGTTCTTCCTGAGAGCTTGTTAATGCAAAACATCAGAAACCACCAGAGACCCACTGAGCCAGAATCGGCATTTGAACAAGATCCCTAGGTGGACCAGTCCCCTCATTTTACTTAAAAGGAAACTGAAGCTCAGGGAACTTAAATCACTTGTCCAAGATCATACAGCAAAAAGTTACAATTAAAACTCAACTCTTCCAGTCCTGTGTCCACCCCAGCTCCCCCACAGCCACACGAACATTTAAGGAGGCCTATTTAGGTGCAGACACTACATCATGTATGTTAGCTCTAACAACCAGTACCCCAAAGCCCAAGGGCTTTCTGAAGGAACCCAGACTAGTCATAAGAAAACAGGTCATCAGCTTTAAAGTGTGGTGACAAGGTTGTTCCTGGGGTACTATGGGAGCCAAGAAATGGGCACCCAAGTCTATCTAGGAAGGGAGAAGGGAAAAGAGAGGAGGTAAGTGGAAGCATGCCAAATAAAAGGAAGGACACACCGGAGCAAAGGATGCATCGTGAGAAAAAAAACAGGCACAGAGCAGAAAAACAAGCAGTTGGTGTTAAAGAACTACAACCAGAACTTCCCCTGAAAGAGTATGGATTTTTATCTAGCCGTGTAAAGGCCTAAACTGCATGTTTGCAAAATCAAATTCCCAAACAGGTCATTTCCAAATTCCCATACCAAGAGGAAATTTTTAATGCAAATAATCTTTTACTCCAATGACCTTTTGCAGTCTTTTTTCTCACATCTCTTTAAGGGTTTCACAGCCTATTTAACAGGAGACTGAAAATGTTTACTGTGCCTTT